GGCACACAATTATTATTATATTCCTGAGAAACAGGTATTGGACTGCACCACTAATAGCACAACTAGATCATTAAAAGTTTAAATTTTTGAAACAAAACATTGTTGTGAACAAAGTACACAGCTGTTTCTCTACTAAAGTACACTGTTCTTTACTCAAAATCTAAACCTCACCCAGCTGACCTTTTTAATGGAATAGATTTACTAAAATGAGTGAGTACCCAGACGTGGTGTGATGACAAATGGCTGTGTGCTATGTTGCCTTGTGTTGGGGACCTGCCACTGAACAGCCCAAGGGACTTGTAGAGGCCGGGGGGGGGCACATAGCATCCCTGACCCCCACTGCTGCCTTCTAGAGCTCCACCTCACAAAAGTGTTTGCCCTTTAATTGGAGAGTTGCGCCCCAAGAAACCACCACATGTGCACTCTTTATTTTATGGCTCTTTTAAGCAACTTGCATGGGCAAGTGGGGGGGGACAGGAAGTAGGATTTTTCTCAAAACAGGACGGGATCTTTCGTTTGTAAAAGGAAGTATTGCCTTTATCTTTTACATCTCCCAGGCCCAGCTGTAAGGCAAAGACAAATACAGTAAGCTCTTTCATCCTAAATACAAAATTCTGTTTCAGGTGACTTCTTGGGGAATATATTCCACTGGTGGGTACGGCCGAAGGCAAAATGTAGGGTGGCCAGTGCTCCATCACCAAAAAGGAGGACAATTCATGATGCATGCCTTAAAATTATCCTCATTTAATATAGAGAAATAATTGCCTTTAAGGACCTTGTCAGAGTTTTGTGACTCCCTTAGCTTTGAGGGTATCATGGTATTTCCTGCAGCAAAGTCCAACACCAAAATATTCAAAACACCTGTATTAATTTTACACAACTCTACTACTGTAGTGTGCATCTGGAAGCTTTCCCCTGCCTCAATGCATTTAGCCAGCTACAGGGTTGGTATCATTTTTCCGTAGTCCTTGGTTTCTTCTAAGACAGGATGAAGGAATATGTTGCCCTCCAATGTTGTTGGACAGCATCTTCCATCAACCCAAGCCACGATAGTCAACAATGAGGTACCATGAACATTGCAGTCCAGAAACATTTGGTGATTTAATGTTTAGAATATAGCAATACTGAAAAAATGAAAACAAATTAAAACAAATGAATATGAAGCAAGATTAGGCATCCTTCAGTCTCAAGAGACTATGGTAACACGCTCTGTATGGAGGACTTGGAACAGCATCTAGTGTGGCTGAGAAAGCCAATTTGAGAGTGGCAATCCCTTCCACACTAAAGACAAATGCAATCTGCCCCCTGTCCAGCTCCCTTATTTTGCTGCTTTCATGACTGCCTCTTTGCCTAAAGGCTAAAGTATTTCAAATATTCAGAAACAGCGATGAGCATGAACTGGTGCTGGTTCATGCTGGTTCAGCCAATGGCTATACAGCTGATCTGAAGTTTGGAGCCCCACTCCCTCTGGTGGGTGCCCATCCAGAGGCAGGGAAGTAGGGGCACTGCCTCTGAGTGGGCACCCACCAGAGGCCGTGGGGTCTTGAACTGCAGATCAGCTGTGTGGCCAGTAAACGAACTGGCACGAACCCACCAAGTCAGCAGTTCATGCCCTTCTCTATTCAGACACAAAAAGGAAGAGGGCGGAGTTCTATGATATTACTAGGGGAACCAAGTGGGTTTTTAGTTTTTGAAAGATACAATGAGAAAACAGACATATACATTTATTATATTAAATGTTGTACCAGGATGTTTTCACTTAAGCTGAGTGTGGAACTCAATGCCACAGGATACTTGATGGACATCTAGTATAAAGGTATTAGAAAAGGAACAGTCAATTTTATGCAAGACAGTAATACCAATTCTGTTTCTTTCTCTTTTTTTACAAACTAGAAAGAAAATAAAAGAATATACCAGCTCATTATTGGCTTTGGTTCATTTATTCACTCAATAGTTACAACAGGCCACAAAGTTAGCAGGAACAGTATCAACCCCCACCCAATCTATTCTGATTAAAGTACCTGCTGTTGATAAAGGGTTATATTTTAAACATATAATGAAGAGGTTATTCTGCTCACACATTGGAACCAGCTATCTGTTGTCAAGATCACAATGAGAGGCAATGCTGAGCAACTGCACATTTTATGCTACAGCCTTCTGCTGGAGACTGCAAAGTGCCATACTTTTAAAACTACATTCTCAGCCAAATGGTGCCAAAGTATTTAATAGTCTTGTGAATAATTTAAAGCACATGTAAAAGCTGTTTTATTTTGGCTCACAGGACATGACAGAGTTACTCATAGTAATTCTAATACAGTACTGTGCTACTTTGTTGAAGAGGAGCACAATAGTACAAAAAGGGTGGAGAGAAGAGAAGGGTGAATAGTGTGGCTTAACTGGCCATGTATTTATTGGATTAGATGGATATGCTGTCTCCTGCCAATGTGCTAATGGCAGATGCTGCTGTTGTCCTTATACAGCCCTTGGGATGTTTACTGACGACAATACGGCTAAACTTTAAGGGGGGGAAGTGGGAAGGAAGAGAAACATGTGCACTGCCTTCAACTCATTAGATGCAAAGAACAAGACTGCATCCTAGCCTCATTCCTTCCACAAACGTTGGCTGGAGTGGTAGCTGAATCTCACATGAGACAGAGTTTGCTTTTTTGGACGGACGGACTGACTGACTGACTGACTGACTGACTGACTGTCTGTCTGTCTGTCTGTCTCTCTCTCTCTCTATCTATCTATCTGTCTATCTATTTAACATGTATCCCACCCATCTAGACAATGTCTACTCTGGGCAGCTCACATCAAATAGAATAAAAACAGTTAACATATGACAACAATTTCACAACGGTGAACAATCATTCAAGATGGAGATAAAGGATAAATTAAGTGGTGCCCGGAGGGAAGGCCTGCCTAAATAGCCAGGTTTTGTGTTGGCTTTTGAAAATACCCAGCAAAGGGGTCAAGGGGATCTCGGAGGGGAGATTATTCGAAAGACAGGGAGCCACTGCCAAGAAGGACCGGTTTCTTGTTTTTTCCTTTCAGGCCTCCCTCGGCATTAGGCTCCTCAGCCGCCCCTCCTGGCTAGAACGAATGATATGAGTAGATCTAAGTGGGAGGTCGGCATTAGGCTCCTCAGCCGCCCCTCCTAGCTAGAATGAATGATACGAGTAGATCTAGGTGGGAGGAGGCGTTCCGCCAAGTATCGAGGTCCTAAATCATTTAGAACTTTATATGTAATCATTAAGACTTTGAAATCAATGCGGAAACGAATGGGCAGTCAATGCAAGGCGACCAAAGTGGGAGAGATACGTTGTGTTTTCTTATCCCACTGAGAAGTCTGTCTGCTACATTCTGCTTCCGCACCAGTCTCGAAGGTAGCCCCACATAGAGCGCATTACAGTGGTCTAATCTCAAGATTATGAGTGCATGGTGATGAGTGCCCCAACACGGATGGAAATAGCTGGAGCAGATCACTGATGCCACGTGGGTTTCCATGGTGAGTGCCGGGTCCAGATGGATCCCCAAGCTGCAAACCTCACTTTTCGCAGTGAGAGTCACCCCCCCAAAAGAGAGGGAGTTTCCCAAACAGCCAATGGTGGGGCCACCCACCTTCAGGACCTCCATCTTATCCAGGTTCAGCTTTAGCCCATTCTCCTGCATCCACTGCAGTACAGCCTCCAGACAGCGCTGAAGGGACAGAACAGCATCCACTGTAGTTGGAGAACAGGGAGACGTAGAGCTGGGTGTCATCAGCGTACTGATGGCACGATGACTACAACTCCCATAAACCCCCAGCCAGCATAAGGAAGCTCTACTTCAAGACTAGCAATGATACAACATCCTCTGCCTGAATCTAGTACTGTATAGGTTATTATAGCTTTGTCCTCCAACAGTGAGGAATAGCCACGTAGTCCAAGAGGAAGAGCAGGCAGTCTGCCAGTGCTACTCCTGCGCATTTGCACTTTGCCTAATGACAGGGCCAGCCCTAACTGATATTCTGCCCCCATAATCCTGTACCATCTCAAGTTGGGACACAGGAACATAAGAACAGGCCTCCTAGCTCAGCCTGCTCTGGTCCAGCGTTCTTTTCCCACTGTGGCCAAACAGAGACCTATGGAAAGCCCACGAGGTAGATATGAGTGCAAAAGCACTGTGTTTGCTCCCAAAGAAAGCAGTCTTTGCTATTAGAAGAAATATTGTTCCTTGCTGTCAAGTTGCTTCTGGGGCAGGACAGTCCTAATAGGGCTTGCCAGGTTTTGCCATTTACTCACCCTATTAGTTTAGAGGTGTTAAAGGCTAATAGGGCTTGCCAGGTTTTGCCATTTATTCGCCCTATTAGTTTAGAGGTGTTAAAGTGCTTTACTGTCGCAATCCCGCAGTGAGTATTCACAGCCAAGAAGGAATTTGAACCCAGCTCTCATGTGTCCTAGTCTGACACGCTGCCCGCTGCAAAGTACTGGTTCTCAGTTTGAGACTACTGTAGTATATACAACCGAGCAGGCGGTGACAGTGTCATTCTCCTTTCCTGGGACCTAGCGAGAATATTTTGTTTCTTACAGCTACTTTCACATCCTCCTGCCCTAATGAGCCATTCATAAGAAGCCCAGCAAAACGGAGAAACAACAGAGCAGGGCCTTCCATTAGGGGCAGTGAGACAGCAGGCTGAAGCACCTATTGTGTGTGCCAGAAAATATCAGCATATGTATTTATTTTCACTTTATGGCCAAGGAAGGCAGCTTGTGGGACTTTCTGTCCCTGGAGCCAAAATAAGTGGACCCGGTATTAGGCATTGCGAATGGAGGGAGGGGGGCATTTCCTATCCTACCCGAGGCTGGAAAGCGCCTCAAGCGGGCAATACTCGACTGGAAGTAAAACAGGCCACATGAGCCCCCACTTTTTAACGCTATTCGTATATTAATTTCCCGCGGAGTTGCTGGATCATGGAAAGCGCCTCAAGCGGGCAATACTCGACTGGAAGTAAAACAGGCCATACGAGCCCCCACTTTTTAACGCTATTCCCGCGGAGTTGCTGGATCAGCGGCTGGCGGCGGCGGGCGGCGTCCCCTCACCAGGCGAGGGCGGGACGACGATGAGTGAGCAAAAGGCGTGCGAACTCCCGAAGCGGCGCAGGCCTCGTGCTGTTGGCTGGCACCGGGCCGCGGCTGCTACTCAGGCGCCGTCCTCCCGCCGTTGTTGCCGGCCCGCCTTGCTTTGCTGCAAGACGCCGGGCTCCAGACGCGAGGCACGAGGCGCGCTCATGAGCGCCTTTCTGCCGGCGCTTGGCTTGATCCACCGCCAGCCCGGAAGCGACCCGGCTCCGTAGAATGGGGCAGGCATGAGCCGCTATGGTGAGGAGGACCGGCTCAAAATGTCTTTCAAGGTACGTTTTGGCCCATCCGGCCGTCTCCCTTTTCCTGCCGTCCCCCTTCTCCTGCGGCCGCTGACCTCCTGCTTGCACTGCAGTCCGAGGGCGCGACGGCAACCAGGCCTGCGGCGGCACCCTTCAGCTCCGCGGGGGAAGCGGACCTCGCTTTCTATCAGAGGCGCCGCCGGCACCGCCGCTGCTGCTGATGCCCGGGGAAGGCGAGGCGGGCCGGCTCTGGAAGGGAAGCAGCAGCGCTTGGGTTATCGCTGAAGGGCCAGCCCTGGGGATGAAGTGTCGAGAAGATCCCCCAGGGGTGTGGTTTGGGCGATCTCTCTTGCCGGGTTTAACTGAAGACCTGGCAGTGTTTCTTCTTGCGTGCTTTTAGAATAACGAGCAGTGGGAGGGAAAATGGTTCGCCTGTGTCCACCCCTGCCTAACCATCCAGTAGCGCCAGATACAGTATGTGCGTCCTGGTTGTGATGCGGAGGAAGCCCTCTGTGCGTGCACCGGCGCGCTCTGTTACCCTGACATGTGTCGCTGGGTTGTGCTCTCGATATGAGGAGGTTCTTTGCACAGCGCGAGAAAGCACAACGTCTGAAAAACGCGCCTTTCGGCAGGCTGGGCTAAGGACAGAGTTCATGCGGAGTTGCAGTTATTTTTGTTCTAGCTCCAGTGAACATCCAGGGATTCCCTAAGGCAGCTGACAGCAAAAGGAAGACAAGGCACGACAATTAAATGCTGAACAACTTAAAATTATTCTAGTTTGTGCACTGTCAAACTCTGCTGAAATGAGTATTTTTAAAACACTTGTCTTTTCCTTTGATGTTTTCTTCTTTCATTTTCCATTCTGCAGTTTTCCATAAGAAACTGTTCTATATTGGAGCTGACTCTGATCACCCCCAATTTTGACTCACACTTCCTCACATGGGGAAGCAGTACCTGCAGGTATTTCTGAACAAGTACAGTGTGTTTGGGAAAAGTGTGTGACATGCCCAATACCCCTTTTTTCATGTAGGGAGGATTTGAAGTGAATCCTTCTGAGTTCATTTAAACTTGGTGCTGATTATTGGGTGGGTGTGCTGGCTGGGGATAATGGGTATTGTAGTTAAGCATTTGGAGGACATTGGTTTGCAGGTGAGTGCTCTGACTGGTAGAAGCTCCCTGTGGTCTCAGTGAAGGGAACGTTCTCATTTTCTCTTGGTTCTTGTAGCTGGAGATCCTCCATGGCTTATGACCACAGTGCAGGCTGCTTCTCCCCATCCCTTATAAGTTTGGGGATGGGGCACCCACATTTCTCTACCTGTGAGCTGCCCCTACCAGAGGTACTGTAGATTGACCCAGTGATCTGCGTCAAAGCAGATGGCCCGGTGGTGTGCTTTGTCTCCTTCCTCAGTATTATGCACACAATGCATTTTTTAAAGATTTGCTTCCACATGGTCCATTTTCTTAAAGTTCCTTTCCAGCCAATAAAACTTGACATTTATTTAACTAACCTATCTATTATGTCTGTATTGACTTTGTTTTTGTTTTACCATAACCTCCTAAGGCTGTTTTCTGTTCTTCCAAATGTGGAAAAACCAGCTTTATTTCAAGTTTGTATGGACAAGTGAGTATTAAGACCTTAGAAGTGAGAAATGAGTTGGCAGTAAACTTCATAGGCAGAAGACTATTTCTTCAATTTGCTTATTAAATTTAATATACTGTATGTTATACATATACACAAACATACACTTATAAGAGTGACTATCAAACAGAATCATTTAAGCAAATATTTTTAGCTTCTGCCTTCTCCAGTTCCTCTGGAGAAGGCATAGGAGACATAGGATAGAATGCCTGTTTGTTAATCTGGATCTTAAACACCATAGTTATCCCTGTCTTTTCAACTGTCTGCCTCTTTGTACTTTCTTTTCTTTTCGTTTATCAGTTGTGCATGAATAAGAATACGTCAGGGGAGAATAATACATCAGAAATAAGAAACAGGCAAAACCCATTTTGCAGAATGAGTTGCACACTGTAAAATAAGTCAGACAGGCATTTAACCTGCTGTTTGATACTGTACAGTGCAGGGATGGGTTGGTTCACTGCTTTTTCCAGAAATCACAGCATAATTGAAGTGAACTAGATTGACCCCAAAATATGCCTACCTGCACTTTTCTGGGCCTCTGTCAGGGGCTTCTACTTTTTTGGTGCAGATAGGATCACTTCATTGTGGTTCAGTTTCTGCTCATGTGATTGCTGGAAATGAATCAAAAGCAAGCCTTCCAAGTGTTAAGGCTTCTTCTAGTGGGAATTTCTGATATTGTCAAGTGGTTTAAGGCAGCCACTTCAGTTTTGTGGCAGATAACACTTCCTCTGCTGCTTGGTGGAGGGGCAGAGGAAGTTAAAAAAATTTTTTTTTACTCTTTCAAGGCAGCATAGATGCATGGCATCACTTATAGAAAAGATGGTGGGTTTAGCTATTGGCAGTTTCTCAATTAGTCCTATAAGACAAGGCAAATAAAATACTTTTTAAAAATTATAAGTGATGCAGTGGATCTGCACTGTCCTAATAGAGTCTTTTTAAAAGGGCCAGAAGAAGTGATATCGAAAATTCCCATTAGAAGGAGCCAGACCCAGTAGGGTTGTTTGCACTCTGATATGCTATTTGGTTGTGAAGATCACACTAAATTGCATATCACATCTCTACCCCCCCCAGCAACCTTATTTTGTCAGCATGAGCACCAAAAGAGCCAATATAGACAAATTATGATAGAACTACATGCTCCTGTTCAGTGCTATTAACTAATATTTTATAGGGTTTTTTTGTCTGATCTTGCAGGTCTTTTGATTCATTTTTATGATAGTTTTTGTGATGTGGCTATCTTTGATTAACAGACCTATTGCTGTGGTATAGCTGAATTTACTAGACAAATCTAATGGGGCTTTAATGGACGTTAATGGCCTGGATTGCCTTCCACCTTAAGAATGTGATACCCAGCAGAGTCTGGAATAGGAATCAAGAGGACAGCTTGAAGCAGAGGGAGACTTTCAGAAAGAGACAGAAAGAAAGAAAGGATAAGAGTGATGCAAGAGCTGTTAAGGGGAAAGTGGGTTATTTTGGAGTGCAGTTCTTTTTGGGAATCTGATTCAGAATCTGCACCTGTCCCTTTGAGGTTCTGCTTGGTTCATTATATGTTGCTTGCATTCTTATAAGAACATTCTTAATTGTGTGACTTAATTAATTGTTAATCCATTATTCAGTTATATCTACTTACATTTGATGAATGAAACAACAGAAAAGCCAGTGTGCTTTCTTTGTAGCTGATGCATACGTGTGTGAGATTAGGCTCCAGTTTGGAAGAGGCATTTTGTCTGAGCAGGTGTCTGCCATCCATTATAATGGTTAATTTCCCCTGCCAAATCAGTTTTTTGCTTAGAGAAACCTTTTTAATTAGTTGAAAAGGTTAAATTAATTAATCTGATTACTCGGCTGAACTTTGTTAGAATTCACATGTGTGTGTTTCCAAATACTAAATACTTTCAATTTTTTTGTAAGTAGAACAGTCCTGAGTGCAGTAAATGGAGTTGCTCCTACACTTGAATTTCAAGTTAAGTGATTGGTATAGGGAAGTTTCATTTCCAGTGATAAATTTACATGTAATGTAAAAGTTAAGAGGGGAAAAACAGGTGAAAATTAATTTATAGATATATGGGGAGAATTTATCAGTTTTGTATTAATAAAGGGGAAGGGGCAAAGCCTATTGCAAGAATCAATACAATTCTGGAAGGGAGATTGAGCTCCACAAGGCTAAATGGTATAAGTTGTTACTCTCAAACAGTCCAAGTGTGAGGAGGCACCGCCTATTCAAATACTAGTTTACTATATGTATCTTCCTTTTTCTGTTTGTTTTTTGTTTTTATAAATAAAAATAAAAAACAATTAAAAATGTAAAAAACCCAAAAAGCCCCAAGTATAATGGCATCTTTAGATTTTTACAGTTTTGTCTAATAGATTATTTTCAGTATGAATTTCTGAAAAGACACCACAAGTGAGCATAAATACCTTTCTGAATGAGGCTACAGCGCTCTTAGACACATCCAGCCATAGTTTAAGAACACATTCATGTCTGACCTGAAACAGCACTTTCTCAGTTCGCCTGCTCAAAAGTCACAATAGTAAGGTAAACAATACAGTGCTTCAAAAAGGTTAAGAACCACTGAGGTAAACAATACAGTGTTACTGTGTTTTTTTCCCTGTGTTTTTAAATTTTGCTTCCTTTTGTAACCACTTGGAAGGAAAATAACTGTGCCACCTTGCGTCTGATGTAAGAAAAGGGTCTGCTCCTTTGGCCTCTAGCAGATTCAAAGGTGTCTCCCATTTCAGGAATTGTTACTTTCCATGACCAGTGGTGATACCACCGGTGGTAGATTTATGTCCCCTGAGCTTTTTCCAGGTGTAACTCAAGCCTTTAGAGCAGATACGCCACTCACTCCATGTGCTTGCAGACAAGAGCTGACTCAACCTAATAGGTCTCTGAGCTTACTAACTAGTCAGAAGATTTGAAACACTACACAGACACTTTAAGTTCTAAATCCAAATCATTGGTCAAACAAAGCCAGATCCCACTCCATTTTTCAATAGTTCTTTGGCTGTCCTTGTCATGAATATTTATTCCTCGCAAAAGAGAATGAAATGACTCAACAGTTCCTCATATCTCCCATTTTTTGCAGTGTCATTGTGTCCTAGCTATATCATTTTGACAAATAGATGTTACTACTTTCCCATAATTTCAATAAATCTAAAAATATGTCATAAGATAATACTTAAGTGAGATAATTAAAAAACCCATTTTTTTCATATCATTGCCATCATCATCACCTGAGAACTGCAGAGCTGGAAGGGACCCTCTGGATCATCGAGCCCAGCCCCTGTCAGGGAGGCACAGTGGAGAATTGAATTCCCAGTCTCTGGCTCCACAGCCAGAGTTCTAAATAATCTCACACACAAACTCTCTTAACACTTTCTCAAGCCCAGAATTTCTCTGGGGACTGAGGATAGGGTATAACTATAGATGGGCATGAACTGAACTACAAACCACAAAAAAACATGAACGGGGCTGGTTCGTGGTTCAGTTCATGCAAGCTGTTTTGCTGAAACAAAACAAAACACCCAACGTTTTTCCACTTGGTGCTTCATTTTGTTTCAGCAAAGCAGATGCCTCCCGGCTCACTTCCCACTTATCCTGTTGCTCCCCTACCGGGTCCTGCCATCTCCTCCTCTTCCTCCTCTGCTGCCACTATCTTCAGAGGCAGCAGCCTGGCTTCCCTTATGGCAGACCTGGGCAAAGTGCAGCCCGAGCGCCACATATGGCCCGCAAGCCGCTCGTGTCTGGCCTGCGGACAGTTTTGAACATCAAAACCATTTATAGCTTTTTATCTAATGTTGATCAGTTGCTTGTCTTTAACATACCGCAAAAAACTCTTTAGTATTTGTGAAGATTAACAGGTTTAAAATAAAAACAATCATTACATCACTGTTTCATTTTATTTTTAAGTAAAGTTGGTTCGGCCCCTGAACACAGTTCAGATTTTTCATGTGGCCCCCCATAGAAATTAATTGCCCCCCCCGCCTTATGGGAACCAAACCTGCTATCTGTGCATGCGTCTGAAAGGGAAGCTGGGTCAGTTGGCTGTGCTTGTGCATGCCTATCACCTGATAGGCCTGTGCATGGGCAGAGACAGCAGGCCCAGCTTCCAGGAAGGTGGCAGTGGAGGAGGAGAAGGAGGCAGCAACAGGAATAGGTAGGGAGGCAATGGGGGCAGTGGAGAGTGAGTGGGTGAGTGGCAGAGGGGGTGGAGCCGCTAGGTTCCCTCCCCTTAGGCAGGAACAGAAAAAATTTAACTGTGAACCAGTTTGTTTTTCCTAGGGTCAGTAGTAGCTGTTTGTCAGTGTAAAGCAGGGGTCTCAAACTCAATTTGCCTGGGGGCCACTGGAGGCAGAATCTGGGTGAGGCTGGGCCGCATCAGATTTTCCGCCAAGCGGAGCAAGCACCCAAGGAAGCCACCCAGGAGTTTCCTTAGCCCAGCTGGGGTTCCGAGGAGGAGGAGGGGTGCGCAAGCCAAAGAACGGGAGAAGGGAGGGAGCACCGGCAACTGCCTAGCGGGGTTGGGAGGAGGGCACGACATGAAATAATAAAAAAAAAAACTCACAGAATTCTCCTTGCCGAAGGAGAAAAGACCTAATTGGTACCCGCGAAATTAAACAGAACGGGGCGGGGCCACCACAGGTGCACACGCGCATGCACGCACACAAACAAACTCACACATGGAGGTCCGGCAACCTTCCTCTGAGGCCCCCTCAAAAAAGCGCACTCAGCAGCAACAGCTACCCCCACCACGACAGGGGAGCAAACTTTGTGAGGCGAGCCCAGGCAGCCTGCAGAGCTGAGGCGGCTGGAGAAGGACGAAGAGGAGGAGGAGGAAGCACCACCGGGCGCTGAGGCAGCCGCTGGCCGGGCTAGTGCTGGGGGTGCCGAGAGAGAAAGAGAGCCAAAGAGCTGCTTCCTGGAAGAGGCAGCAGCAGCTGCTGTTGGCGGCTTAGAGGAGCTCTTCGAGGATGGGCCGGGAGCGAGCTGTGCTCTCAGGCATCGCTTGGGGGTGGGGAAAAGGGCTGGCAGTGCACCTTGCGCACCGGGTCTCCAGGCTGGCTGGCAGGCTGCAGTTCCGGATGGAGGGTTCAAGAGGCGCTGTCTTGGGGGAGAGCCAGTGAGCAAGGCAAGGCTTTTTTTCGACTCTTGACAGCAGAGAACGCGTGGGTGCTTTGGGGGGGATGCAAGTCGGGTGCCACAAACTATCATCCAGTGGGCCACATATGGCCCCTGGGCCACATGTTTGAATATGGGAGGGAGGCATAACCATTGGCCCTTGACCACTCCCTAAAGCGAGCAGTATTCCCCCCCCCATTCCCTAACAAGCCTGATTGATTAGCCAGGCCACAAGAAAAAAAATACTGCTCAGTGGGTGGTCATGGCACAAAATGGTGATCTTGATAAAGATTGTTGGGAAGAAGGGGAGAGTACGGATTGAAAAAGATTCCATTGGATTTGATAGCTTAGTTGAGGGTGGTGTTTTTATTCCTTCGAAGTGCTTCCTGCAGGACAAAACACACACCACCGGGGCAGCTTGAACATTTCCAAGCCTTATGGGCACTTTGGAAAAATGAAATGCTCATAAAATTAGGTACATGTTTTAAAAGCTGAACGGCCAAATTGCAAATAGTTAATTGAAAATACGTACTCCAGCTGCACTTAGGAGATGTGTAAATGAATGCCTCTGTTAGAAAAAAAATGCACACAAAATATATAGGAATTTCCATACAGAATCAAAAACAAATATTGGGAAAGAAAGCCTTTCTAAGTCTGTGTTATGTATGTGAGTGTGAGGGAAATGTGGGTTTGTATGCATACATATGTGCATGTATGTGGGACATGAGATAAATGCACTCCTCTCCTGTGTTGCTCCTAAAATGTGCAGAAGCTGACCTTTTGGAGTACAGTTCCCAGAGTCCCCCAGCCAGCACAGCCAGTGCTGCGCATAGTTTTCCACCATAGTTTTCACATAGTGTGGTCTTATTTACGAATTGATAAAGAGTCTTTAACACTAATAGATTTAGATATGGACAGGGTAACTTTGGTTGGGAAAGTACTGTAACTGTATGTCTGTTGCCCACCACTTACTTTTCGAAGCACCCAAAAACATTGTTAAAAGCGGCTGCTGAAAGCAAAGGATAGCTGTGTTTTGTAAAAAAAATACATAGGCAAAGATTTGGAGATGGCCACCCGTTTGTATGTAATAACATGAAACAGATTTTTCTTTGTTGTCTTTTGTTTTTGCTAACAGAAGGAGACACCATTGGCAAATGCTGCATTTTGGGCTGCGAGGAAAGGAAACTTGGCCCTCCTTCAGCTATTGTTGAATAGTGGGCGTGTCGACGTGGACTGCAAAGACAGTGTAAGGACCCAGTTTCTGCATGGGAAGAATAGATTATGTATGGTTCTTTCCATAATCTGCTGTAGGAGGAATCCCCCCTCTCTGACGTTAATGCACTGATTTCAGCATCTTCAATTTTGTTTGAATATAAGTGTCAGAATATATACATTCCATGAACATTCCATGATGGAAACGTTCCATATTTTTAAATTTTACGTTTTAATTTTTCCTTTTTAATTAAATTAAAGTTTTATAACATTAGCATATGGGCATTGTGCAGTCTTGTGTTCCATTGATTTGGCCACAAAACTTTTAATTGCTTAGCAGTCAAAAGATGGACAAGTTACTTTTTTTGAATGACAGTTCCAAGAATTCTACAGGAATTATCTCTCAGCCACTAATATAAATGCATTGAAAATGAGAAAAGAAGTTGGGCAGCAAGAGCATTGGTAAGGGAGCTTGAGAAAATTACTTTCTAGGACTACAAATAATTTATGTGCCTTTTTTGTCCTAATTGTTGCTTGAAAAAGCAACTTTAAAGGCAAGTAGTTGTCATTGGGGACATTGTTTACAACTGTGCACATGATAATGTTGCAGATAATGTCGCCTGCCTTTAGCCTTGTCTGGACTCTGCAACGCATTGTAACTTTGCAGGATTCCATCTCTCGAAAATTCCATCTCTCTTTGCAAGTACAGTATTCCATCTCTCAAAATGTCCTCATGAGATTTATGAACAAAAAAACATGAAGAGTTGCTGTTCTAAAGCTCCCATATAAGATCTGTTTCTTGAGAATGAACTAATTAAGTGTCAAATGACATTTACATCTCAAATGCAATGTTTAGGTAGTGGTCCTAAAAGTATTTACTTTGTGGGATACTGGTGTGAGAAGTGTCTGAGCAGAGTCCCTACATGTGAATACCTTCTCTCAGGGCTTTTTTTTTTGTAACCAACAGCACTCTGTGTGCAGATATTAAAGGAAAGGCGTGCAATGTGAGGGGTGGGGATAAAATCAAACTCTGTTCTTTCTTTATGGTAAGGGTCTTCCGTGACTACACAAGAATAGAGCTTGTGTGTGAGAGAGAAAGAGAGAGGTGTGTGTATGAGCAGCTCTAGCAGCATCCAATTTTAGCTCTGACCTTCTCAACAGTTTTCCCATAGGGAATGAAGGTTGCAGATCCAATTTTAGCTCTGACCTTCTCAACAGCTGGCCCGCAATTTCTGGGTAGTTTCCCATAGGGAATGAAGGTTGCAAACTGGAAAATGTATCCTGGATTTATACATCAGTAAATTGCATCCATTACATTAGTCAGCCAGGGTACTTTCCTGATATTTATAAAAATATAACAGTGTGAAGTATAAAAATAAGAATGTGATGGCATGTTGCATAAATTGCTAATTTCATCTGTTAATAATCAGCAAAGCCTAAAATCCTATTACTTGTGAAGAAGCCTCCTCTGGGATTGAGAGTAGACATGTATAAGATAGTGCTATACAATAGTGTAGAGCAGTGGTTCCCAACTGTGGATAACTTAGGTGTACTTCGACTACAACTCCCGGAAAACCCAACCAGCAAAGCTGGTGAAGGCTTCTGGGAATTGCAGTCCAAGAACACCTGGGTTGCTCAAGGCTCGGAACCACTAGTGTATAGGACTGTTAATGCACTCCTTCCTATATCATAGCTGGCAGAACTCAGTCGGTTGGAGTGCCTGGCTGCAAAAATAGGAGCCAAGAGTTCAAATCCTCACAATGATTCTTGGGAGAGAGGCAGCTGAAATAACATGGAGTGTGCAGCTGTTCGTGTTATGTGTGGCCTTGGGAAAGCTGCAGAATCCCAGAACATCATCAGAATGAATGGCACGTCTGACTATTTCATACCTCAGAAACCCTGGAGGTTTGTGAAAATGATGTAGTTGACTTAATGGCATAATAGACAGACAGACAGACAGACACACACAAAAGGGGGCATTGTACTGAAGACAGATGGTTTTCATATGTTGTCCAAGGTTTTTGTGCAAACATGAGGTTAGAATTGATCCAGTCTCCCAAGCTCTCTACCAACAGTGTGTCCAGTCATCAAAAGCTCTCCTAAAGTCCTCATAAAGATTAATTCTCACCATGTTATCGGTGAAATACTTTGGAGATCCAATAGAAATCATAGCACAAAGGGAAGATGGAGGAATACCCAAAGGTATGGGAACCATCTAGGCAGTAAAGGAGAACATTAATAAATGCTTTTCATCTCTGTAAACCAGTTAGAAATTGACTTGTATCTCTTTATTTATACACAGCTTGGTTCAACAGCTCTTATGGTAGCATCGTACTATGGCCACAAAGACTGTGTGCGAGAATTAGTGCTACAAGGAGCGGACATTAATCTTCAGCGAGAGGTATAATAAAACCTGGCATTTAAAGGGAGACTGTAGAAAAGAAACCCTTGTGGATACCAATGGCTAAATACATGTCAAAGGTTTAAGATGAAAATCACAATGGGATTTTTTTTGGATTTTTCATGGACTGTGGAGTAAATACAGTTGGATAGTCCCAACTACTGTAGAGTAGACCCACTGATTAAGTGTTTTTGGATTTTTCATGGACTGTGGAGTAAATACAGTTGGATAGTCCCAACTAGAGTAGACCCACTGATTAAGTGGTCTACTCTTGTTAGTCAGTAACATCTATGTAAGTACCATTGATTCAGTAGGTCTAGTTGAGGCTAATAATTGTATGTGTCCAGTGGGGTGGCCAATGGGATATGTCCAGTGGTGTCTCTCTGCTGATGGGAGTCTTTTTGCTTCAGTGGAAGCTTCTGTCTGGAGAAAGCTAGGTGGGTTTTACTAATGCCCTTTTTGCTCCATCAACCATTGTGGATAAGGGGGATTAGATTTCTTCTGCATTCCACTAATGGAAGCCTTTACTGGATCAAAAAGCCTCACCTCAAACTAACCACATTTGAGTCATGGTTAGTAGATTTAGCCAACAAAAAGCCCTCAGGGAGCTGTAGTTATTTTTGGTTGATGACAGAGCACAGCACTGAATCGGAATGATAGAATTGATGTTCTGAGTTTACTTGAGTGCTTTTAACCCCAATATGTCTGTTGCTGTAGGATTTTCAGGTGTTTTTGGCATGTTTTTGTACAATATGGAGAGAATATTTTGGTGTTTGTTTATTAGAAATAAATATAGTATAAATAAATATTGTGTACCTTTACATAGGAATGTTATAAACTTCAGCCAGTATAGTCATATCAGGCAAAAATAAAAGAGAAAGAAAAAATAAAGAAGACAACAATGTTGTGGCACTTGAAAAACTAACTACTGTATTTTAATGTGAGCTTTCTTGGACAAGTCCACTTCCTCAGACCAGTATGATAATGTTTGACTTAGGGCTCAGTCACACATGAGAAAACAAACCCAGTTATACCTATTTTTTTCATACCTCTGTTGCACCAATATATTTTTCAGTGGTCACATAGCATATACTGTAGGACCTCATTATCTGTGAAATCATTATCCACTGGTTCACTTACCCATGGTCTGAAAATACTATATTACAAATATTAAAAGAGAAAAATCCAGGGAAAAATATTTTCATATATATCACCAGAATTGGTCCCTGGAGAGAACCATGCTATGAACAATGCATAGCACAGTCTCATGCTGCTTAGGGCCTCTTCTCTTGCAGATTTTCTCCCAGGAAGCAGAGGCGGAGGCAGCTCCTCCTGCCTGCTGGCTTACTCAAAGGTAAAAAAAGAAACCTTCCAACTAGTGTGGAGGTTTCCTGTGGCACATAGCCCATGTGCCTCTCCAGTTGCGTCCTTGGCCAACAAGCTGCCTCTTTGTCTGATGGTTCCCCAGGTGGAGTTGCTACTGTGGGTGGGCGTGAGCCTTCGGCCCTGCCTTGCCCTTTTCTCCCCAATCCAGGGCATGGGGCATCCTTCCCTCATGCAGATCTGTCCAAAGGCAGGGTTGGCTTATCCTCCTTCCCGACTTTTCTTCCTGCCCCACTTACCTGTGCCTTTAATCCCAGGAAGGCGGGTAGGATCCCTCGTCCTCCTCCACGCCCAGAAGCTTGCAAGGAAGTAGAGCCAGAAAGGGTGGCTCTCGCCCCTATCTGTCCTCTCCTCTGGTGGATTGGCCCCTTCACCCAGGAGGGCCAAGCCACAGGAGGTAGGTGGAGGGGTGTGGTACTGGCCCAGTCTACCAGTCCTGAGGGCAGCGGCCTGCAGCCGTGTCCTGTATATTGACAGGAAATGTGCACAATGTTTTTAACTCTAAAAATTCATTTCTTTCTATTTGAGCCATTATAGCAGGCTACCCTGCTCTTTCATTTTGAATCCATTCATTTTAACTACTGTTTCTTGGGGAAATCAGTCCCCGCTTGGCCTTCCTTTCTTTACAAATTACAAAAAGTGATATATCAATGGAGCAGTGCCTTTTCTCCCCCTCCCCTTTTCCCTTCCTTCCTTTACTCATTTTCCCTGCATATCAATTCCTCTCCGTTTTTGGCTTTCATTTTTATTTTCCTTTTTGAACAGTGTTGAGAGAAGGAAATAGACCTTTTTGAACAGTGTTGAGAGAAGGAAATGGATTTTTAAAGACTTGCAAAGTATTATGAAGAGCAGGGTTAAAACAAATGGAACTGTCCTTTTCTTTACAATTCAAAGCAGAAAATCTCAAACCCTCTTTCACCTGTAAGGGATGGGGGAAAGACTGTTTCCTTCTGAGCAATGTATTCATATTGTTGTTGTTTCTGTAGCAGTGGCAGTGGCACCATCAGTGGCTGCTACTAGCAATTTATCTATATCCCCTTTTTTTTTAAGTGCAATGACCATTAAGTGACCACAGCGCCCAGAAACCTGACATGCTGAAATGATAAGGACTGAAGTGATTCATCATTGGTACCATTTAAAACAACTCTCCCAGTGAGGGGGAAATAAACCAATTGTGTCATGTGAACAGAAAAAGTATGAAATAATCAAAATAACAGCCAGATCAGTATAGCTGGAGTTTTTTTGACAGGTGTGATCGAGCCTTTAGTCTGACTTAATTGGACATGAATAGAGTCCCATGATGGTGCTTGTAATAATTTTATTTTAATTATCCTATTTTGTGACAATCTTTTAAGCGCCTGTCTTAAAGGGACTGCAGGATATAATAGCAAGCCTGATCTTATGTAATGTTTTTTTTTTGTATTTTTAATTTAAATTACAGTGTTTTTTAAAAAGCTAGTCATAATGTTGATTATTAAGATTGCTACTTTTTTTAAAGTTAGCTATGGTTTTCCCATAGCTGTGTGGAAGGTAGGAATTCAGTAGATAGTGGTTTCCTTGTCACAGAATGTCTGGGTAGGACAGTGCTTCCCATGTTCAGTTATGTTTATCATGCAATTGTTAAATTCACAAAAAGATAATCTTGATTTTTAGGTGGCAAGAACATTTTCCTCCAGTAGCGAAATTTCTGTAGTACAGGTATATGTTCAGAGCTTGATTATTCAGAATAATCCTGACGGTACACCAGGAGCTTAACGTTGCTTTAAATTAAAACCAAGGCATGCATGGGTCCAGTAGTTATTTTCTTATTTACAAAATTCTCAATTTTTTCTCATGGAATTAGAATATCAAATCCTTTATTAATATCTACAAATAGCAATATCAGCAGATCTGAGTGTGGACGATGTGGGTTTTCCTACATAAGGTAAGTAAAGGAGAATAGCTTTAGCTTTTTTTTATGAGGCTTTTATCCAACAAAGCACTTATATATAAATAGTTCCATTATCTCTATGTGTATTTGTGCATCCGATAAAGAGGCCTAGGAGAATAAGGTTGGACCTCTTTCCAAGAACTGGTTTTACAACATAATTACAGTCTCAGGATGGGATAGCAACTGGTTTCTATGCGCCTATTTAAATGTGCTCTGTCTGAAATACCAGCAGCTAGTTTATATTTTTGGTTATATGGACCCTTTGCAGTTAATCACATGATTAAGTTATGTTATACACAATACTGTAGTTTAAACACACATGCTACACCTTAGGATCATTTTCTGTTTTACTCTAGAGTAAATGCAAGTGGGCACACCCCAGATTCAGACCAGTGCAGATGGGAGAGGTGACTTTCCTTTTCTACTAATTATACGGGATGGGTGGAGGGTATAATCTCACCTACCCACATGCTGGTTCTGATGCAGACTGGGTCTGTGTGCACCTAATGAAATAGAAAAGGTATATATTTACCATATTGTGTTGTTGTTTAAACCTGAGTTTGCCCATAGAAATTCCACTTCAAGATCTCCATTCCCTAGTTCTTTGGCAGGTGATGCTTAATAAAGGCCATGGAGAAAGAGCATAGATGCCATGCCAGAAGCCCGTATCTGTGTTCATGGAGGCTTCCACAATAATTGCACAGTTGGGGTTCTAATTTTTTTGGAGGCTTCAGCAGAGCAAGCAAAGACTTTTCTCCTGCAGACGTTTGCCTATAAACTGTGGGTACCTTTGGGGATGGAAGTACAGTGGTGCCTCGCTTAGCGATCGCTCCATTGAGCGATGAAATCACTTAGCGATGGGGTTTTGGCCATCGCCAGAGCGATCGTTTAGCGATGGCCCCTATGGGAAAAATCGCTTTGCGATGATCGCGGGGAAGCAATCATCGCAAAGCCCCCATTTTCGGCCAGCTGATCGGCGGTTCCAAAAGGGCTGCCAGGAAAAAATGGCTGCCCGCTGTGTTGCCTCGCTTTAGAGGCACTGAAAATGGCTGCCGCAATGCAGGATCTTCGCATGAGGTTAGTTTTAAAGCCCATAGGAATGCATTAAACAAGTTTTAATGCGTTTCTATGGGTTTTTAAAAATCGCTTAGTGACGAAATCTCTTAGCGACGTTTTTTCCTGCACGGATTAACGTCGCTAAGCGAGGCACCACTGTATCTTGTTACTTATGCTATGATACAGCCCTGTTTCTGCTCTCATTTTGAATTCTGCTGCTTCTGATAACAGAGAGAATTTCTACAACATGTCATTTCCCCCGCTGCAATCTACGTTTGAGTTTATGGGTGGCTCTGAACACGTTATGAGTGATTTGGTGAGAAAGGCCAGGTTACTCATAAACATGTTTGAAGTTGCTTATGAGTTCAAATGTAGGTTGCAGAGAAAATGTGAAATGTCATAAAAATCCTCCCTCTCATTCTGACTTTCTCTTCTCTCAAAGCTTAATGGGAGAAATTTAACAGGTTCTTCTCATTATGTCCCTTCACTGGGAAAATTGGCATCTGTTGCATTGTCGTTCTGTCACTCAGGAAGGCAAAGCAACCTTCCTGGGTGAAAAAAAGAGACACCCTAATTTTTCAGAACAGACATGAGCATGCCTTTGCTTGGCTGCTGAAACTGAAAATTTGCACTCGTCTAACATGCGTGCTCTGGTCCATGGGGTCACGAAGAGTCGGACACGACTAAACGACTAAACAACAACAACAAACATTTCAGGTGGTCCATGCCTTTGAAAAAAGCGGTTTGTATTTAATTCAAGTGCATTGTAACCACACATCTGATGTAATAATACATGGGCTTTATGTTTCTCATTTTTCAGTCTGGTGCTACTGCTCTGTTCTTTGCTGCACAACAAGGCCACAATGATATTGTGAAGTTTCTCTTTGAGTATGGCGCCTCCACAGAGTTCAAAACCAAAGTAAGAGATTTATACTTTTTTAAAAAAAAAATGTGACTATGACTGCAGCCTGCAAGGAGGCAAGGCTGTTGTTTTTTTACATCTGATGTTTGGAACAAAGTGCAAGCAGGAGGCCTCAGGAATGATTTCACTTCCCACTGTATGGTTCTTTGGCAGGACATTAAGTTAGCCCTGGCTTTTGTTATTGCTCAGATTTCATAGCATGAGTGTTGCTCCATTTATTTATATTGTGTATTCCTTTATTTGAAAAGGGCAGAACTCAGAAAAGTTACTTAGTAACTGAGCTGTGGGAATGCAGCCATGCTGTCCTCAGCTTCTTTATTGTTGCACTGAACTGGAGACTTCTTGACTTCAGAGAAGGAGTTGCAGGGTTGAATGGAGGGTCACCTTGCCATCATATTTTGCTGCAGGCCATATGTTGGAATATTTCTACAAACGCAGTTCCTACAAAACTGTCACCCACCCCTTTTTTTACCCTTTTACCGTCTCTTTTGTATAAGTAGGACAGCTCTAGTGAACCACAGCATCCATTCCTGTCTTTGGTTTTATAAGACGTATTCTGTTGTCTGTGCAAATCTCAGAGACTATATTGGTATTCTTGACTGGTTTGCAAACCTGTGCTGAATTTGCTTGCTGTTGCTTTTGCTACATTTAAACACTTCATTTATAAATTCCAGATTGCTGTGTTTTCATTGCTGTGTTTTTCTTCATAAAAATGTTTAAGAAGCTGGCAAATAGGGGTGTGCCACTTGTTTGGTTTTTTTTAGATTCTGACTCCCCAAGTGCTCCAAGAATTCCCCAGGCAGAGTTCTGGGAGTTTCTGCCCACTGACATATATAGCTACATTTTGCTCACTTGGAAGAGGCCCTGTCTTCCAGACTACCTCAAGCCTTACTTCCTCTGTGAAAAAAAGGGGAATGCTCCAGTGCTTCCTGTGAGGCCTAGGATTTTGTGGGAGGTGTAATCTTGCTTCCCATTGGGCTCTAGATAGAACACACACACAGGTGAAACCCAACCAGGAAGCTTTGGAGGAGTCCTTTTTGTACAGGAGGTAAGCCACAGACTACTTGGAAGTAAGTCCTGGTCCAGGTGAGTGAAATGCAGGGGTGTGACTGTGAGCAAGCACTCTTAGAGTTCTCCCTAATGAATTCTTGGAGAATTCTGGGAGTTGGGGTGTGAAAAAAATGAATGGCACACCCCTACTGACAAAATAGTGCTCATTGTACAAATAGAGGACTGAGGCTGAAATTATAGATTCAATCTGTAGTAAATGTGACATGACGACCCAGTTCTGCTGCCTTCTAGCCTGCAATTGTAAGGCTGTCCTGCAGCTCAATAACCAAAAGCAAAGATAGGTGTCATTACTGTTTTGGTGTATAGTTCCCACAATCCCATAGCCAACTAGGCCAATGACCATTTTGTCTGAGGAAATTTGGGAAGTGTAGTTCCAAAAAAGTGTTTCCCTTTCTAATCCAGGGCTGGACAGAAGCTTATGAAGAAAGCTTGTTCTGTGTCAGTCCTACGTTTTCGGCAGTGTCTGGTGTGTGACAACCTATATATTGGATGGGAGTCCAAAACAGCTGCCTATGTCTGCCCTTGCAAGGCTTGGCACCTGATTTCTTACTCTCCTCTTTACTTACTATAGCACCTGCTTGTCTGTCCCAACGAGTTTCTCAGGTTATGGCAGAGTTGTTTACAGCAGGTAGGGAGACTGAAAAAATTTGGGTGTCTTGCTGTACAAGAACATTGATGCCAAGTCACTTTGGCTATAGGCCATTGCTCTGTGTGTGCGCACATACATGTGAGTGTGCATCCACATCTTGATTAAAAATGTATATATACATATATGTGTTCCACTGCAAAAAAAGGTGCATCTTAAAAACGGTATTAGCTGCCTTAAAAGTTTAATATCGAGCATAATGGCAACCCATAGCTCTTTTAAGGAATTAACAGATAAAGTTAAGCAGCAGAAATTGGGCAACTTTTGTGGAGCTGGGTTCCACTCTCCCACAGAATCTACCAAGGCCCACACCACTGCTCTGATAATGAGGTTTGGCATTAAATGAGACATACTGCTTTAAAATAAGAGGAGATTCTTACTTTAAATGTGTTTTTGTGGTAGGGGGTAGGTCTCCCAAGATGGTCTTGGGGTTGATATGTGGTCCAAGGCCTGCTTGATGCCCACCACAGTTCTATTACTTTTGATAAAATTCTTCTTCCTCCTTAAGGGTAGTGACCTTCCAGCACCATTTTACTCTGAGTAAGAATGCTCTTATCTAGTTCCTTCCCAAGGAACTAGATACGAATTCTAGAACTAGAACTACTGATTCCCTTTTGGCAACAACCTTGGCAGTGGACTTTTACATTTTATGAGATGTAGCTGAAATGGGACTACATAATGATACCTCACTGTCAGGGGCAGATGTACATAAGAATTGTGTGTCTTGTTTTCGTGGCACGTAATACAAGATTAGGTGGTATGCCATACCAGCCACTGTTGGCAAAAGGGCATGTACAAGGTGCTCAAGGATACCTTGCTGTTCGAACTGATAACACATCGGTTGGTTCATAAAAATGCATTCTGTAGTATCCCAAAATTAAAGTCACTTGATGACTTGAAGGTCTTAATAATTACATAATATACTAATTAGTTTCAATGGAAAACAGTATTACACTGTCTTTTCTTTTTCATATAAAACGACTTGTGTGCTTAATCACACTGACTATTTCTTGGTAATTACACTCTGATGGTACAAATCTTTCTGTTTTGCTTTGCTGGTCTACAGTTTTCCTGGTTTCATTTCTCAGAATTTCCAGCTTGCTTGCCAGCAACTGATGGTGCCTCAGCTTCTAATGTCCTACAGATGTAGCTAACATTATTCCAAAATTAATGAGAGAGTTGAAAGTTCCCCACTGCACAACACACACATGGACTAATTTAGGAAAAGTACAAACCTTATTATTAGTACAGTAGTGATGCCTTCTATGCAAAGAGATGCTTTTTGCAGTGCATTTTATATGGGAAGAGGAGGATTAGAGTCATAGACTTACAGAATACTAGAGTTGGCCCAACAGTGATCTTGTGGTCATCAGTCTTGGCACAATTCAGATGATCTGAAATAGAAATGAGGTGGTGGTAAGAGTTGAGAACTACCTTATGTATTAATTGTGATATATGTTGCATTGCAGATTTATAAAATATTGAACCATTTGTAAATAGGAATATAGAAAAGTTCCTCAGTGTTTTTTGCATGTTGACAAGACTAAGCGTTTGGAGAAAAAAGTGGATCACATCTGAAATTTAGAAAAAATGGATGCTGACAAGCATGCTATTGACATATTTTCTCAGTATTGCCAACAATATTGTTCAGCTCAAAAACATAGGTAAAAGCTAAAGGTTCCCCTTGACAATTTTTGTCCAGTTGTGTTCGACTCTAGGGGGCGGTGCTCATCCCCGTTTCCAAGCCATAGAGCCAGCGTTTTGTCCGAAGACAATCTTCCGTGGTCACATGGCCAGTGCGACTTAGGCATGGAACGCTGTTTCCTTCCCACCGAGGTGGTCCCTATTGATCTACTTGCATTTTTGCATGCTTTTGAACCGCTAGGTTGGCGGGAGCTGGGACAAGCAATGGGAGCTCACTCCGTCACGTGGATTCGATCTTACGACTGCTTGGTCTTCTGACCCTGCAGCACAGGCTTCTGCGGTTTAGCCCGCAGCGCCACCACGTCAAAAACATAAACTCCTGGAAAAGTTTAATAAAGTGGGATCTAACCTAAAGCTGAATTCTTCTAACCAGTCAAGATTTCAAATGGAAGGCTTCTGCGGTTTAGCCCGCAGCGCCACCACGTCAAAAACATAAACTCCTGGAAAAGTTTAATAAAGTGGGATCTAACCTAAAGCTGAATTCTTCTAACCAGTCAAGATTTCAAATGGAAATCTTGAGAGTAGACTATTTGTCTAGATGGGCGGGGTATAAATCTAATGAAATAAAAATAAATATCTGAAACAGAAAATGAAAAGACAGGTTTAGCCCGCAGCGCCACCACGTCAAAAACATAAACTCCTGGAAAAGTTTAATAAAGTGGGATCTAACCTAAAGCTGAATTCTTCTAACCAGTCAAGATTTCAAATGGAAATCTTGAGAGTAGACTATTTGTCTAGATGGGCGGGGTATAAATCTAATGAAATAAAAATAAATATCTGAAACAGAAAATGAAAAGACAACCAGTTATAAAACTATCCTTAAGAAAAATATTAATGTTGAGAAGAGTAATTTGCTTAATTTCTGATAAATTAGGCATATTTAATATGCTTTGTATTTCAGGATGCTTCATTTAGCATTAACTCAAAACAATACATATGGTCACTTGTCACAAGTCACATAGTGACAAGTCACATAGTCACATAAACAAGTCACTTGTCACAAGATGAAAAACAAAGAGAAAACTATGGGGAAGCCTGCTTTGCTTTGTCAGATCAGCAGATTTTGGGGTCACTGTGGAGAACAGACATACTATGTTGTGAATTTAGCCGTCCTTGAAAATGCTAGACAACTATGACTTTTTACATGTTAGACTGCATTTTAAATGAATAGTCCTTTTTTCATGGTTGGGGGAGATGACTGTATAGTGGCTCTTTCATTTGTTGTGAACTAGATGCTAAGAAATGCAAGCACACACACACGCAGCTATTCAGAGCAGCTTTGGTCTTCTTTTCTTCTTCTGTGGCTAATTTTTACTTTTTGGTGTTTTTTGTTTTGTTTTTTGTACTCTCCAGGACGGAGGCACTGCTTTATTAGCTGCTTGCCAGTATGGGCACATGAAAGTAGTGGAAACTTTACTGAAACATGGGGCCAACATCCATGATCAGCTTTATGTGAGTTGTTTTTTTATATTACTGAATTCCTTTTTCTTCCTTTCTTTCTTGCTTTATTTTTTAAGATGAAATTTTTAAGAGTGATTTCCCAGGATTTGCTTTTCCTTTTCCTATTCTTAAATAGCTTTGAAACCTTAATTGGAGTTTCAGATCTTTGCTTAATCAAGTTATGCTTAATAGTTATTAAATGTTTTGAAAGAACTTCAAAGCCATAAATAAAAAGAAGTTACTCTAAAAACAAGCTTCTGATTTTCTCAGTTCAGTTGATGAATAGCTTCTGGTTTCTGACTGGCAGACTTTCATGAGAGGCAGACTCAAATACTTGCAAGAACAATTACTCACGAAACATCAAGAGTTGAAGTTTAATCTTTAAATTGATTACATGTCAGACCAGCATAAGGCTAATTAAAAAGTAACCTTAGCAGAAAGCACTATATTAAATGGCAGAAGCTTATTGCTTGTTATGGAAAAATACTTGAGTATAAACAGCATTCTTGCTATGTTTGGGAGCTAATGGGAAGGAAGAACAAAGGGCTACTAAGAATATTTTGCTAGTTTAAATACTGATTAAATAAATTAATATAATATTATTATTATTATTACATGAAGGATGGAGCTACTGCCCTTTTTCTAGCTGCTCAAGGAGGCTATCTGGATTTAATTCGGTTATTATTGTCATCAGGCGCAAAGGTCAACCAGCCAAGGCAGGTAATGTTCAGCATTGTTAAGACATCATGTATTGTTTGCTATATCCTTTATTTGTTTGTTTGTTTGTTTAAATAATGCTTTCAGATTCCCTCCCCTTTTCATTTTTTACATGCTAAAATACATAATCTATATCTTGGTACTAATTACATTCTAGTGATTTTTATAAACCTTCTGCTCATGTGATAATATTGGCTCTTTGTGCGGTTTGCCAAAAGTGTACTGTAACTTCCTCTGTTCTTAGGCATCATTATCCATTCTTATATAAATCACTAATATTTTATTCCAAGAATCACAGCCTCTTTATAAACAAAATAAAACACAAACATAGTACACAGTGAAAGAGATGTGAGCTCTTAAAGGCTTAGAGGAGTAAGCAATCACTGATATATATAGAGAGAGACCACTAGTAGGCCATAGAAATAGTCTAGGTGAGACTGAGAAACTATGCATCGTTTTCAAAACAATCACAAAGAGTTCACTCTCTCTCAAGCACCATGTCTTCCTGACTTTTATTTGCTGTCTGTGACCTTTTGGCATGCTAACTGTAACTCCAGACAAGTATTTCTCCTAAACCTGTGCCTCCTGCATGCCAATTGACCCTAAGTGATAAATATAATGAAATAATGTGTGGAAAAAGTTAGTTCCTCCCCATCATAGATCATGGAATAATGAAATTGAAAAGTGCCTATAAAGCCATCGAGTTCAATCCCCTGCTCCATGTAGAAATCAAAATATATTTGACAGATGGTTGCCTAACTTTCCCCATCATAGATCATGGAATAATGAAATTGGAAAGGGCCTATAAAGCCATTGAGTTCAATCCCCTGCTCAATGTAGGAACCCAAATCAAAATATATTTGATAGATGGCTGCCTAACTTTATCTTTAATATCTCTAGTGTTGGGAGTGCTCACTACCTCACTGTCATAGTGCTCTAACATTTTTTTACTGATGTTCAACTGAAATCTGGCTTTCTGTAACTTGAGCTCATTATAATGTGTCCTGCATGCTGAGATGACTGAGAGCAGATCCTGACTCTCCTCCTGTATGGTAGTCTTTCAAGTATTTGAAGAGTGCTGTCATATTTCAACTTGGTCTTCCTCTCTCAAGACTAAACATGCCCAGTTATTTCAGTCTCTCCTCATAGACTTTCTTTCCAGTCCCCTGATCATCCTTGTTGCCCTCCTTTGAACTTGTTCCAGTTTATCAGCATTCTGATAAACTACAGTGTCTAGAACTGGATAACAGTGCTCAAGGTGAGGACTAACAGGTGTCAAATAGAGGAAAACTAGTATTTCACATGATCTGAAGATTATACTCCTGTTAATACAGCCTGACATTTGCTTTTTTTGCAGCCACATTGCACTGTTGGCTCATATTCAGCTTGTTATCTACAACAGATCCTTCTCACCTGCAGTATTACTGAGTCAAGTATCTCCCATCTTGTACCTGTGCATTTGGTTTCTTTTTTTCCTAGGTGTAGAACTTTGTATGTATTGGTTTCTTTTTTCCTAGGTGTAGAACTTTGTATGTGTTCCTGTTAAACTTAATGCTGCTGATTTTGGCCTATCAAAATCTTTTTGCATTGTTTCTATTTTCCAGGATATTAGCTATTCCACCATATTTTATGTCATCTGCAAATCTGATAAGCATTTCATGCACTCCTTCATCCAAGTCATTAATAAAAACATTGAAGATCACCAGGCCCAGGTCTGACCCCCATTTGTTACCTCCTTCCAGTTTGAGAAGGAGCCATTGATAAGCACTATCCGAGTTCAGCTCTGGAACCCAGGAGTCTCCAACCCCCCGGTTTGTGACCTGGCACCGGTTCGTGGCCTAGGCAGGAGTGGACCACGGACACAGATCTCCTGGCCCCCTGCATGCACGTGCCCTGTGCATGCGTGTGATCGCGCCACCCCCACCCCATGCGTGTGAGCATGCTACACCCACCCATGAGTGTGCCACGCCCCCCCACAAGCAAGCCACGCCCCATACAAACATGCCAGGCCCCCGCATGAGCATGCCATGCCGACATGCGCACAGACCCTGCCCCCTGCCAACCAGTCCACGGTTGAGAAAAGGTTGGGGACCACTGGTGTAACTAACTATGTATCCACCTGATAGTTGTTCTATTCAGCCCATACCTAGTTAGCTTACTAATCAGAACATCATTGCATACTTTGTCAAAGGCTGAACTCAACATATCTTACGTCTACAATATTTTGTCTACCAGGAAGTTTACCTGATCAAAAAATGAGATCATGATGGGATTCAGATTTTTTGACACAGTAATTGGTAGGCAGGAAGCTAGAACAGGTAGACGACCTCTGACTTGGAGATACACGCACCAGAAGTCCAGAGAAGAACTTTATTATCAGTTCTCACCCTGTGTGCAAGCACAGAAAATACTTTGGCCCATAGTGACAGAACTCCGTCTGGTGCCACCTAGTCATTAAACTATGTATGTAATGACAGTTTTATCACACAGGAGCAGAAAAAGTGCAAACTCAATATATTTCAGATTTAAGCAAGCAAGTTCCTTTACCATTTACTCAGAGACCTGATGCTAAGGAACCAGTGATGAATTCTGAGTCCTTATTTTTGCTTTTTAAGGCATTCTTGTGCACACAAAATCACTGTATGTTTTAATAGACACAAGACAATTGTTTTGAAGGGTGTTGGCTATTGCACTCTGTAAATGGGTGAAGCTAAGGGCATGAATTGGAGCCAAATGAACATGGGTGAGACAGTTGGAATCCTAACCAGTTGGACTGTTCTCATTTCTTAATTCTTTGTGTGTCTCTTGAGGAATAAACCTCAGTTTGACAGCTTCCTAGGTTGCACAGTTTAAAATCTCTGCTGAGGTGTAAGTCCTGGTGGAAAAGTATCTTAGACTGCAAAGCGCAGTTCAAGTCTATGCCTACCTGCTCTGGACTAAGCCTTGTTGAAACAGCTCCCATTACTACAAAGTGGAGTTGTGTTTCATTCAGTAGTTTCCTGGGCTGCAAAACACAGCTTGGTTTCATGTATCCACTTCATGAGCTGCAAACTGGAGCTCAGCCCCCATGCAAGCCTTCCAGAGATTTAAAAGACCTTGTGCCTATTTTGGCTAATTAATAAGAGATAAAAGTAGAATAAACTGCTGAGCTGGTGTGGGCTACAAGTTGTCTTGTTGCTGTTGTGTTCTTGTTGATTGATTCTCTCGTTGTCCTAATTGCTGACTCTCTTACAAAGGTCAGAAATATTTCTGGCTTTGCAACAGCCACAAAATTTCAAAGGCTCCAATCCAACGTAATGTGCCGTTGCAGGACACCACATACAAGCAGGACCCCAAAGAAATCTCAGAAATAATCCCAGCACCTGTCTAGGTGGCAGGCTTATTTTGACTTATCAAGCTCATTACCTTGACTAGTAAGTTTCTCAAAGTCTAAATTACCAGCATATGTTTGTGTGTGTGTAAATGCTCACCTCCTGTGACACAAAGCAGAATTACTTAGCGGGCTGCTAACTTTCAGACTTAGTGTTCCTAGGACATTGGGCAAGAACATGAACAGCTCAGATGTTAACCTTGATGACTCCTATTGGCTTGTTTCCATAAACCATAGTTAAGAATAACCACAGCTTCAGATGCAGGTAACAAAACAATCTCTAATCAATCTAGAAATGGAAGACGAACTTCCCAATTTCTGGCTGCACTGGAGGAAAGGTTGATGAAAAGCATGGTTTTTCATGTTGCCTGGCTTGTAGTTCTGCTCTAATAGATGAAATAAACTTTATGCAGGCTGAGTGCTGTTTCTTTTAGATATCAGTGTTAAGATTTCAGCTCTTTTGGGGGCCAACATGTTCCTCTTCTTAAGTCTTCTTATAACAGCTGGTGAAAACTAAGAGGTTGGTTTCAGACTTAGTCATTCTTAGAGTGGTATGAAATCAATGGGACTGTGCTCATAAATAACCTAACCCCTATTGATTTCTGACAATGACCCAAGGATTTTAAAAGAAAAATACACTGATTATTTTATGGAGTAATGTTATTTTAGGAATATTTTGTCTGTATTCTGCAGACTTTTATTCACAGGGATATATATTCTATAGACTTTTGAAAAGCTAATTTTTTCTAGACTGCAGCTCTCAGAATACACAGCTAGCATAACCATATCAGCCTTCCTGTAGCATCAGACATTCTGTTATCATTCTCAGCTGATCTGAATATCGTGTTCTTTCTTAGAGCAAAAATTTCCCTCAGGATCCAAGTTTACTTTGCCCTTGATCTTCAACCAGAATCCTGTTGTGAACTGCCAGTATTGTTTTGACTTGGTTCTTTTAAACTTATCAATCCTGTTTTGTTTGGTTTGGTTTTTCCTTAAAGGATGGGACAGCTCCGTTATGGATAGCCTCTCAGATGGGTCACAGTGATGTAGTACGAGTAATGCTGCTCCGAGGAGCAGACCGAGATGCTACAAGAAATGTGAGTAACTGCTTTTAGCTTTTTAAGCTTTCTGTTGGAATCAGGAAGATTCCGTCATATAATGTGGTATAAAATCTCGTTTGGCACTCTGTCCTGCAGGAGAGGCAAGATAGTGTAATTCTCCAATATCCATAGTTGTAAGCGGCATCTGTGAGATTCTGGCATTCGTGAGGGTTGAACAATAATGCTACATTGTGTTGCAGTTGAGCCTCATTTAGTTTGGATCAACGCCAGTGCACACTGATAGAGCACACCTTAAATCGTCCTCCTGTAGTCATTTCCCCCTCTTGAATTCATCTGTTTTCCCCTTTAGCCCCTTGTAATAAAAAGGATTGAATTTAAGTGAAGGAAATATCTAGCTGGAAATGTTTCAGCATCCCCTGCACATACACATCGTAGTCCTGATCCAGATCATGCTAACTTTGGAATAAGAAAAGAAAACAACACATTTCCAAGCTCTGTAGAATTGCCCAGATTCTTCTGCTTCTGCTTTGATCCCGGGAGCATCCTTTGAAACCTGTTCCATTCCTGTGAAACACCTTTGTGGTGAAAATGGGAAGTATAAACTGTACATTGAATAGTTCATGTAGCTGTGGAAGTTTAGTGGTGATGGAAACATACTTCCCAAATGTTCAGGGCCATATCCTTCGTTTGTTCAAAGCAAAAGTCAAATAAAGCAAATTCAGGGAATTTTTAATGTCAAGGTTTCTTAGATGATAAATAGCTTACGGTCAGAACGGAGCCAGCTACAAAAGTTGGCACTGTTTGTTATTAGCCATACAAACAAATCTTTGGGAAGGTTCATTGCCCCATCTCTCTGTCTCATATGTTCTTTTCTTATTATGAGGCTGCAGCTGCAGCAGGAGAAAAGGCTATTAGCTGACAAATACTGCTGTTGGTACCCGCTACTGTATTTAAATTTCCTCAAAATGTCTATGGGATCTCACTGGAGCAATGCAGTAGAATGTCTGAGGCTTTATAAGGGGATGAAAATCATGGACAGTGATAGCAGGATATTTCTGTTATTTTGCCATTTCTATTGCTACTATCAAATTCTCACTGTTTGGAGAGAGAAGGGCAGTCAGTTGCCTTGTTCAGCACAGGTAAATTCCAGAGACAAATATAAAAAGTAAAAATGTTAATTTATTTTTTCTCTTTCTTTCTGAAGGATGGCACAACTGCTTTACTTAAAGCTGCAAACAAAGGATATAGTGATGTTATAGAGGAATTACTGAAATTTTCACCCTCACTTGACTTATTGAAAGCAAGTATTGAATAAATCTATGGGATGCTCAGTTTGATACCTAATCTGATGAATTCAGTGGGGCTTATTCCCAGCCAGGTGTGCACAGGATTGCTGTCTTAAAAATATGATGCTGGCAGTAACAGGGGGTTACTGTTTTGGGGTTTTTTGTACTTCATTCCTTGAAGCCTTTGAAGTTGCCAGCAAACCAGGTCCATGTGCTTTTGTAGCCCTCTATCAGGACAGGTTTTTGGTGTGCACAGGGGTCTGCATTGGGAGGAGGGATTGCACCACCCCATTTATACTGGCTTCTATTCTTGCTTAGAGTACAACACATTATATAGCCTTGTGCTTTACACTTGTTTCTGTGGGGCATTCAACTGTATCTCAAATCCAGAGTTTCTTGGATACTATTCTTCTGTAGTCCAGAGCATGAAACAGTTACTTCTTTGGAGCAGGCGAGCTAGGTAACTGGGTAATTCAGCAATCTGTAATTCTAAAAAGTAACACTTTTCAGCTCTGATTCTTTGTTCTCTGCTTATGATGTAAATGGATGTTACTTATACATTTTTGTATCTCCTAGAATGGGACATCGGCTCTTCATGAAGCAGTTGTTGGTGGCAGTGTAAAAGTTGTAGCATTACTCTTGGAAGCAGGAGCAGATCCATTCCTTAGAAACAAGGTAATAGAGTTTGTTTTTCAGTTTGTCAGATACCTTTTTGAAACTGTTCAGAGATTATTGTGGCCCTGAGAGTTTTGTCTCCTTGAATAAATCTTTTTATAGAAAATCTTAAAAATTCAGTATGGGATACGGATTAGGCCAAAACTACTGTAATGCAAATATTAAATTCTCCATTCTCTGTTATAAATGTCCATTAGGGGGCAGCAGCACTCTGGGGAAAACTGATACAGTATTTTCTTTCTGCCCTATTTCAACAGATCACAGGACACAATACGATCGGTTTTTAGAAGAATGTAAAACAATAAATTGCCATAGAATAGCTCAAAATACTTTAAAACATGTTAAGAAGTCACACACACATAATCAAAAGAGAAAGATGCGAAACCATCTCATTAAGTGATGAATGTTCAAGCGAACAGATAGGTTTATAAAGCTAGTGTTGGCGCAAAGGAGAAGCATTCCATAAGCATCATGCTATAACTAAGGGCTTGTTTGGAATATTTGTTGGGTTAAAGGGAAATTATCAACACACAGTCACAAGCCATTTGAATCGTAGTTTGTGTTCCCTTAGAAACAAATGTTTAATCTAATATTTTTGAAGGGACACTTTTGCCAGACACATGCGCTCTCTCTTCTCAAAGAGGCAAGCATGCGTGTGTGTATGTACATATGTGTGTTCCCAAAAGAGGGGAGTGCAAGAGGAAACAGTGGAGCAAATCAGTGCTAGAAAAGTCTTGCACACACAGCACTGTCTTGTGAGTGCTGACACATGCAGGAGAGCCCAATGGTAACAGGCAGCTGACAGCCACTGTAAAAAAAAAAGCCATACGTACACACAGGCAGGGTGAAGGATGAGACTGTCTGGCTAGATGGGACAAGAGAGGGGTAGCAGTGGTGTTTTGCCTGCCTGCCTTTCAGCCACCAGTTCTGGGGTTTGCTTGCAGGCTTGGTGAAGATCAACCCAATCCTTGGGTTGATCTTGCTTTATCCATTCCTGACCTCTCGCCCTGGGACTGGAAGATTTGGGTGAGGAAGCCAGCAGCAGGGGGCTCCTGCAGGGTGCTTGGTGCCCAGGCTTCTCCCCCACCCACAACCCCACTTTTAACACCTCTGTTGCAGGGGCAACTGGCTGATTAATGTGGACAGGAGCGTTCACATAGGAGGAATAAATTTAAGTGACTTGTTTCCACATATGTGTTAAAATAAACAGACCTACGGCAGAAGAGTAAAATAACTCTCTGCTACTCCAAGAAACACAATCCCCTATCAAATTATAACACACTATTACACATATGTTGAGTTCAGCCGTTTTTACAGCAACTCAAAACAAGCTAAATCTTATTTAAATAGTGCTTTTAAAAAACAATATAATCACCCTGTTAGAAAACTCTTGGAATGATGTTACTTTTGACTTTGAATGCATTCAATCCAAACAGTGAAAATCCTCTTCCTGGTTTCCAACCAACTTCTTTCTCATTGCAGAAGAATGAACTGCCTTCAGACCTGACAAAAAATGAGCGGATCCTACAGCTCCTGCAATCAAAAGGGAAACAGAGAAAGACCTAATACGCCTTTCTATCTTGACAGAGAGCTGAAGAGCCCTCCATAGTGGCCCTGAAGGCTAGTATTCTGCAGAATTGGAATTGTTTTGCTGAGACTCAAGCATGTCCTGGTTCCTTCTTTGTGAACCCCGTCAGAATACTTCATGGAGTGGCACTGCAAAGGTTTTACACCACTAAGCTCATCAGGGTTTTTTTGTTACTAGCTTCAGTGCGGAAAAGATCGGGTCTTCTATGAGTACGTAGCTTTCCTCAATAACTGCCTTTACTGCAGCAGAGAAGTGCCCTTCTTGGCTGTAGTGTTCTCTGTTCCTTGATGCAAACCTCCTGATATTTCTAAAACGTTGCACAATCCTTTCCAGCTATGTTGTGGATATCAGAAGCTCTAAACATTTATGTTTTTTTTTCTTTTAAAAAACACACACACAGTGCTGTCTATGGCTAGTTTGGTGTGAATTACTCTTGTGCCCTGCAGGTGGTTTGGTCTCTGGTAACACTTCGGGCCTCCTTGTAGCAACTACTCTGACTGCCTTTTTTTGCACATTGATATCATAAAGGTTTGCAATAAAAAGTGGGGTAAACTGTTAACTTGCAGCACTTCCTTATAGGCTAGCCACTTACACATCACTTTAGAAAAGGGAGAGCACAAGAAGACACTTGCATATATTATATTATGTATCTATAGGTATAAATTTTGAAACTGTTACTGTAATTTCAATAGAAATACAATACCTCTTGCCATGGGGACAGTGACAAACAAGGTGACTTGTGTGTACCTGTTCAGCCTGCTGTCCTGGTGCTAAATGCTGGTGGGCACCTTCAAGGCCTTTGCTGTCCTGTCCCTTTAAATTGGACTTCATTTTTGAACAAAGGATGCCTACAAACAGAGGACCATCCTTAGTAAAGTTGAACACCTGGCCACCTGATGTCCTTGCTAAGTCACCTCACTGCTGCAGTATTGTCATCATAAAGTGATGATATATGTACTAGTATTCTCTAATGCTGAGATCTCATTTATAAATTATTTCTTATGCCTTGTGGTTATCTCTTTGCAGATTGCTCATTATCATACCAATTTATCAAGGCTTTCCACATACCATACTTATTTAAGTTTAGGTATTATACACTGTTCTTCGGAGTATTTATTTAGAGCAGTTTATATCCAGGAACAACAATGTGTGGTTTAGCCATGAGTCACTTTTAGTTGGGATTATAATGTTTGGATTTAATCCTCATTATTTAAAATTATTCCAAGTTTTCAGGATTAGGATTGTTCTTTTCAAGCACTGGCTGCTGAGAAAAGAAAAAGTGAACTACTAGAATGGAATAAAGTTGTGTGTGCCATCTCTGTTGATACCTGCAGGACATCCTAAGAACAAAGTGGATACTACTTTTTTTAAAAAAATAGAAAGCTGCAGTCAATTAAGTAGATTCTTTTTGGATTAAATCATCAAGGTTTGGAAAAATTATTAGAATTTCCAGAATCCCCTAGCCAGCATGGGAGTGTAGGAGTTGTATTCCAAAAAAGTAACTTTTCTAGGCTAACCTGTTTTCTTTCCACTTGTGGCGAGTCATGTGCTTCCTGAAAGCCCAAGAGCATTGCTGGAAGACAACAGTAAGTTCTCATTGTCCCCACTGACACTACTACTTAGGTTCTGCTTAGCAGTAACCACCAAGAACCATTGAAAGCCCTGTTTCCCATGAATCTATCTCTCTTCTCAAAGCTGCATCAGTGGCCATACTGTGTCTTGTAACAATGATAATTATGTAAATAAATATTTAATTATATCTGTCCTGAATCTATTGTCCATCCATCCATTTCAGTGGGTGAAATGGAGTTCTTGTGTTTTGATAGACAACATAACCACCCTAATACACAAACCTCATTTCCTCATATAGAACTGTGCCAGTCCTTTGATCATTTTTGCTCAACTTTCCCAGCTCTATGTGGGATGATCAGAACTTTACAGTGTTCCAAATGTGGTTGTATGTAGATTTACCAACAAGGAAAAAAAATACAACAGCAGAAGTTTAATTTTGTACTTCTGTAATGATTTCTAATGCAAGATCTTCCTTTTTTTAATTGTTTCCGCACTCTTTCCCAGCTCTATGTGGGATGATCAGAATGTGGGATGTGTTAGATGTGGGATGATCAGAACTTTACAGTGTTCCAAATGTGGTTGTATGTAGATTTACCAACAAGGAAAAAAAATACAACAGCAGAAGTTTAATTTTGTACTTCTGTAATGATTTCTAATGCAAGATCTTCCTTTTTTTAATTGTTTCCGCACTGCATGTTAACATTTAACAAGAAGCTACCATCCACTACACCCAAAGACCTCTTTGCTGTTTTTCATAGTCAGTGTAGAATCCATCAGTATATAAAGACAGTATATAAAGTATATAAATATAAAGACACACTGTGTATTATTTGCACCTACTTTGCAATTTGTTTTACCATCTGGAATAATTGCATCATGCTGAATCCTATATCTGGATTCCACGGACAGAACTCTATTCACGGAAGAGGCTCCACCTGATTTTCCAGGATCTAGGTCTGTCCATTTGTGTATGCCTAATTGTGGATCCAAGCCATCATCTGCAAACTTATTAATTTCAATTTTCATTCTTATTGCCCTTACTGATCAGCCACATTCATGCTTCTCACATTGTTGGCACCACTTGAGACTGCATCTAGGATCACCCCTTTAGTTGGTTTTATGGCATATTTATCATATCAAGAAGTTTTTTTCCCCTCATTGTGGACTTCTACCATCTGTGTACTTTTCAGTGTAAAGGCAACTAAAGCAGAGCTGAGAAGCTTGCCTTGATGGTTTAAAGCCCCTCCCCGAGAGTGCCTCCATTAATTGGGGTAGTCTGGGAATTATATGCCTGGAAGCCACCTAGAGTGGTCATACTGACTAGATAGGTGGGTACAAATTAAATAAATAAATAAATTATAGTCCAAAGAACGTCCAAATTCTGAGATAAAGACATCCATTTTAATAACATGGTATTATTGGTGCCTTCCCAAATAATTTTACAGCATGCTGTTTCTAATCTGATTATGGGGGAACAATGTATTTCTTTTAAAATGTCTGGACAGTGCGCTCTCTATTACAGAATACCAACCAAATATATTTACCCTGCATTTCCCAATACAGTTTGCACCTGGTCTTTACAGCCCATGGTTCTCCCTATTTCATCAATCTCTTTTTTCTCCACTATATCTGTGTTCCATGGTTCAGCACTAAACCCTGTTCTGGTGAATATGTTAGCATATAACAACTGTATTTTATAATCCTTCTTGAACATTATTTTTTTTTGGCACATTGCCCCTTTGGTCTGAGCGTGCTTATTGGAAACTTCTACCAGTTTATACCATCGTTCTTAAGAGACCTTTTATCCTGCATGCTCCTGGCATTTTTTAAAAAAATCATTTTCAAAGCTTTTCTGTGACCATTCTGATGTTCAGCAGCAGCGTTTCAGTTCTTTTACTGCCTCCCTTATACAGAGCTGCTTTGTCACTAATTCTTCCATGCATTAACACCCTATACTTTCCATGTATGATATGCACATCACAAGCACAGGGTTTGTGAAAACACTGCTATGAATGTCCATTGCACTGTTTTTTAATTATCCAACTTCAGATACTCTTGTTAACAGCTCTACTATGGCAGTGTTTTCTTTCTTCTTGTGCATGTAAAATTATATTAAAGAGAGTGAACAAAATTCCTTTATATCCATTCTCATGGAGATATTACTTATTTATGTCTCTAAATTTGCAACAGTCTGTTTTTCTAGTATAGTCATGAATAACTGTTGTTAACACCATCAGGTGCAGTATAATCAAAATACTATTGATCTTTCCGTACAAAGGACCCATGTTTATGTAATCTAGTTCCTATAGATTGCTATATTAATAGGCATACCCAATTAAGTATATATAGTTATCACCATCTAGATGAGAAGCTTGTGGCTGTATCATTTAATCATGCTACCCAGTTCCGAAGTATTAAATTGCTCTTGCAGGTGTCAAAGAAAACAAATGCATTTTCCATTTTTTTTCCAAATCATTCAGCTAAATAATTTTAAAAGTTCTGTTCTCATGAGCATGAGTGACTTTGAGGCTATGTTGACCTCAAGTATTATACCTACTGCAGTTACAAAAGAAGGGCATAGACCAGTGGTTCCCAATCTTGAGTAACCTGTGTGTTCTTGGACTTCAGTTCCCAGAAGCCTTCACCACCAGCTGTGCTGGCCAGTGTTTCTTGGAGCTGCAGTCCAAGAACACCTGGTTACTCAAGGTTGGGAACCACTGGCCTAGGCTACAGGAGAGGAAGGAAGTGATACAAGTCTTTAATGAATTGTAAATAGATCCAGTTTTGCTAATAATATCCTATATTTATTTTGAAAAGATATGGGTGAGCAGTATGCTTTCTAGTTCATGGCCTAAGATTAAAAGAGTAATCAAGGGCAGTAGTGTTTGGGTGAGTTATTAATGCTGTGATATATATTTAGCCGGGTGAGGGGGTGCATATGTGCTTTAGATAGAGCAGGAAGGGATTAAAACCCATATATGGGATCATTAATGCTGAATTTATAATAAATATGATTTCTCCCTCATTACAAATTTAATTCTAAACCTATTTCAGAAGTCAGTCTCTTGGGTTCAATGGGACTTACTCCCAGGTAAATACTTGTAGCTGCAATCCTCTGTGCATATATCTGTGAGGATGTCTGATATATGATAAAGGTTATTTCTAAGCAGACTTGTGGAGCAAATCTATTTCATGACTTTCAGCACTATCTTTTAAGTAGTAATTCATGTTAGAACAAAATGTAAAATACACAATGTATGATATGTACAGTATTACTGCAGATTTGATGCTTTCTATAACAGACCATCAGGGCTTCCCTCTCCTCCCCTTCATTCCTATGTTTTAGGCTGAATGTCCAATTCCTTTACAGGTCTCTGTTTAAAACCCATTTTTTTCCAGTGGCTGTTTGGCCACTTAACTGGGAGTAAGCTCAACTGAACCTAGAGAAGCCAGCTTCTGAAATAGGTATGTTCATAGTGAGTGAAGGAGAAATTATGTTTGGAAATACAAGTTTGCACCACCTTATTCTTCTTAAGGAATGCTGTTCCAAATGAATTTATAGCAGTGTCTGACATCAGGTAAGTGAATTCTGAGCTGCTTTCCTTTTTCCAAAGATAAAAACTTTGAATGCAATTCAGTATTTTGAAAGATTCTGAAAATGTCAGATTGCAAATTTTTCTCAAGCTGTTTGGTACAACATAAATTTAGCACTGTTACAAAAGCAAGATTTGCATCCAACAAATTCGATCTGAAATCCTGGACAATCTTTTTCAGTCAGTATAGGGGGACAGACAATACCTTGCCCAGATGAACCAATTGTGTAACTCAGTAAAAAGACAGCAGGTGCTAGGTACATATGTTATTTTATGGTAACAACTTACTGCAGTATGTCTCCTTTGTTTTGAGAGGACCATTTGAACTTGGTCCCCAAACTATGCTGCTTTTCAAATTAAATGTAGGATACCAAGCAGAGTGATCAGTTAATATTATGCATTTCCTTTCAGGCTTAAAGTGCTGGATACATTTTCAGAGGTTAAAAAACTCATAGAGTTTTCCCAGCTGCCTAATAATTTGATTCACACACATGAAGCCAGACAAAAATCACTTATACATATTATTAGTTTGAGTCTCATGGATGCCAGTTTCTTTTGATTTATCATAGTGATTGGAATATATATTAACACCCTTTAGGCTGCTTCTACTAACGTTTTTTTTTCTTAATATGGAGATTAATCTTCTCTGCCAGAGATGGAACATTTTACAAGGGTTCCCTCAGCTGTGTTCATCTCACAGAAAAATTACTTTCAGCAGCCATTACTCAAACATTAATATTTCCCTTGAGAAGGGCATGCATCTTCATTTCAGAAGAAAGTTGTATGTATGCACACATAGGTATTTTTGTAGGTTTTGATACTGGTAGGTAGGTATTGATACTGGTGGTATAAATGTGCCTTATAGTGTTGCTTTACTTTAAAAAGAAATAGAGAATAGTATCGAATTATGTTTTGCTCTAACTAAATAATGTGGTGCAATAAGCTTTTGAATAGACCCAAGGGACCTAAGGTTATCCTTAAATTACATTGCAAAATCTAGATAGGTTTTTAACCCTGTGGGACCATTTAGAATTTCCAGAAAAAAAAGCAATTCATTAAAAATAGTTTGTCTTTAACACTTGGATGAAAATAGAAAACAAATACTGAGGCACAAGTTCTGGCTTTTTCTTGAACAATGCAGAATTTTGTGTAAGTATATTGATTATATCAGGGTCCCTGACTTTCCACACAGCAGATGCTTAGCAGCCACAACCATAACTGTTTTTCAAACATCACTGGTTTTAAACAGGACAATAAGCCCAGCAGCTTGCTTTTAAAACATTGGTTGTCACTAAGTATCAGTGGGGCAGTCTTTCTTCATTTTGCTTGATTAAAGTTCTTTTCTAGCATTACTGCAGATACCAATCGCTATTTCAAAACCTGAGCCCTTATCACCATGTTCATTTCAGCACCAACTGCTAGCTCAAGTTGCAAAACTACAAAAGCTACCTTAGATGGAAATAGGTGTCCACCACTCTGCAATGCTTTCCTAAACATCACTGTTATGCAAGTCATCTCCCACCTCTAGGTACAAATACTGATACACTTCAAATATTAATTGCCTTTGGGATTTGTGCTGCTAATTTAAGTGGGCAGAGAGAAATATGCTTATGAAGGTAGGACAGTAGGCATCCTTCAGTCTCTATTTTATTATTATTTTTAAAATGCATCCTTCAGTCTCGAGAGACTATGGTAATGTGCTCTGAATAGAGGTCTTGGAACAGTGTCTAGTGTGGCTGAGAAGGCCAATTTGAGAGTGGCAATCCCAGGTAGGGAAGGTAGGACAGCTCCTTTGCTATATAGATACTGATTCCTAATCCTGAAGGTAATTTTAATTTTGTTTGTATATGCATGTGCCACAACTCC